AAGTGCTTCAATAGGGTATATATTTTCAACACAGATTTTCTTAAATTGTCTAACAATTTTCTGTTTATGTGTATATCTATAAAATATGAAACACATTGTAAGACCTCCGTATTAGACAAATGCTTTGTATGTCTAATATCTTTTAGTCCATGAATCAACCAACATTGGAAATTTTGGTATTAAAAGGAAATTTAAAAAGTTGTCAAGACCACATCTGCAAACTTTTCATTTTCAGCTTAGTCTCTCACCCCTTTCTAACTCTTCCATCCGATCAAAGTTTTCTCTAGACTCCCTGAGGGCTTAACGCGGGTGGAACATCAAGGCACAGAGATCATTGCTCTTCCCCACTAAAATGGCCGCTCTGACAAGCATGGAGGGCGAGATTGGGACCAGGAAATTCATCCTAATCTGAGTTGAGGAGGAGGAGGAGGAGGAGGAGCTGAGACTCTCAGGTTTCTGCTGCTAACTCCGTGGGGCTGGTTTAGCAGCTAAGAACAGAGACCATAGCCTCTTACCATTGCCTGTCTGAAAGGAGCCTTAGAGATAATTCAGTCGTCATCATCTACATCTGATATAAAACCTCCATTTTATAGATGAGTAATTGAGCCTCAGAACCTGAAATTTCAGAAAACTAAATGACGGCAAGGCCGGAACAGGGGAGCAGGGCTACAATGGGGTCTTCTAACCCTCATTACTGGGATTTTCTCCAGTAACCCACTTCCTTCCCTCTACCTCATCTTTCTAGTTATCCTTTTATTTCTCTTGTAACAATAGTCGTGTTTCATCCCTGTCTGTTCTCCCTGTCACGAACTTGATCACTTGGCGCTAAGTTTCCATGTGCTCCCCTTTTAATCAGTATTCCGTATCCACATGAGCAGAACCAGTGCTCTCCACCTCAGGTAAAAGACACCGCTATTTATCCAGTGCTCAGGCCAGAGACCGCGACATCACCCTGGAATCCTCACATTCTTTCCTGCCCAACATCCAAATCATAAGAAAATCCTATCATTTCTACCCTCAGAATATTTCCAATTGCTATAGCTTCTTACCACCTTCGTGACAGCCACTCCTGCTGGCCCTGCGTTGTCCAGTAGAACTTTCTGTGGGTAGGGAGATGCTCTGCTGTCCTGTAGGGCAGCCTCTAGCCACCGGTGGCTATGGATTATTTGAAATGACTGAAGAACTGAAGTTTCCTAACAGTTTTATTGAGCCATTTATATTCCACACAGTTCATCCATTTAAGATGTACAATTCTATGGTTTTTAATATACTCACAGAGTTATACAACCATTACCACAATCAATTACAGAAAATTTTCCGTGCCCCCCAAAAGAAACCCTGTGCCCACTAATAGTCATTCCCCATTTCTTCCAAACACCCCATGGTTTCTGGCAACTGCTGATCTGTGTTCTCTCTACAGATGCACCTGTTCTGGGCATTTCATACAAATAGAATTGTACAACACCTGGCCTTCTGTGTCTGGCTTCTTTCACTTGGCATAAGGTTTTCAGGAGTCATCCATGTTGTAGCCCATGTCAGCACTTCATTCCTTTCTTACAGCCTAGTAATATTATATTGTATGGATATACCATGTTTATTTATCAATTCACAGTTGATGGACATTTAGGTTATGAATAGGCTATTATAAATAATGCTGCTGTAACATTCATGCATAAGTTTTTCTGTATTTCATCCATATGTTTTCATTTCTGTATATACCCAGGAGTGGAATTGCTGGGTCATATCATAACTATGCTAACCTCCTTTTTTTTTTTGGAGACGGGGGTTCTCATTGTGTTGTCCAGGCTGGAGTACAGTGCTATTCACAGGCATGATCATGGGTCACTGGAGCCTCAAGCTCCCGGGCCAAAGCCATCTTCCCATTTCAGCCACCCAAGTAGCTGGGAGTACAGGCACATGCCTCTGAGCCCAGCTACACATAACACTTCCAAGAACTGCCTCCCAAAGTGTCTGCACCATTTTGCTTTCCTGCCAGTAGTGTATGAGGGGTTTAATTTCTCCACATCCTCGTACACTCCTGTAATTATTTGTCTTATTACAGCCTCCTGATTGGGTGCTAAGCAATATCTCATGGTGGTTTAATTTTGTGTTTCCATCATGGCTAATGATGTTGAGCTTCTCTCTATACCCTTGGCCATTTGCATATCTTCTTTGCAAATATGTCTATTCAGATTCTCTCCCTATTTTAAATTTTTTTTGTCTTTTTACTGTTGAGTTGTGAGAGTTCTTTATGTATTCTTGGTACAAGTTCCTCATTAGATATATAATTTGCAAATATTTTCTCCATTCTTCAGATTGTCTTTTTCCTTTCTTGGTGGTGCCCTTTGAAGGACAAAGTTTTTAATTTCGGTGAAGTCCAATTCATCTACTTTTTTCCTCTGTCAGTGTACTTTCAATGTCGTATCTAAGAAACTATTGCCAAATCCAAGGCTATAAAGATTTACTGCTGTGTTTTATCCTAAGAGCTTTAAAGTTTTGGTTCTACGATCCATTTTTTATTAAATTTTTATTGTGGTAAAACATAATAAGCTTTGCCATTTTAACCATTTCAAACATACAATTCAGAGTCATTAATCATATTCAGAAAGTTGTGCAACCATCACTACTTCTATTTCCAAAAATTTTTTATCACTCCCCATTGAAACTCTGTACCCATTAAGCAATAACTCCTCACTCTCCTCTTCCTCCCCAGCCTGTGGTAGAAACTGAATTTCTTTATTGTATTTTATTTTCTTTTAATTAACTGTAAACAACTAAATGCAGCTAGTGGCTACCAAGTTGGGGTGCACAGTTCTAACCTCACCAGTATCACTCTCCTGCACAGATGGCTGCCATCATTTCCAAGCTGTCTTTGCATTTACTATTGTTGCATGTATGGTCATCTGTGAGCTATTCTCCAGTTAAAGCTGGACTGTTTCTTTAAGAACATAACCTATACCATGTCACCGCCAGCTCGGAATTCTCCAGTGGTTACCTATCACAGTTAACAAAAATCCAAACCCTTCACCCTGGTCTACATTCACTGGCCCCTCTGATGTCAGCATTCTCTTTCCTCCTCCCAGTTCTGCAGCCACACTGGTCTCAGGCTGGTCTTTGAGCCCTTGAGTGCTGGCTGTATTCAGACTCTGGGCAATTTCTCTTCTCTGCCTGAGACACTCTTTAGATAGTCATTTAACCCTCTCTCCTTCATACCATTCAAAAGTGCTCAAATGTCACCTACTCAAAAGGATTTTTCTGGAACTCCCTATCTTAAATAGCAACCCCTGTCTCTGTATTCTATTAATCTTCTTTGTATTTCCTCATAGCACTTATTATACCTGATGTTTTATTGTATGTCTGTTTGTTTATGAGTTTACGGTGAGTCCTCACTATAATGCAAGCTCCATGAAGACAGGGCCCTTCTGCCCCAGTTCTCATAAAAGTACTTGGGCATAAAGTAGATTAAGTAAATACTTGTTGAGAATTTAAAAGAATAATGTTCCTTTCAAGGCTGTAAGCTATGTTAGAGTCAAAGAAACTATCTTCTGTCCAAACTCCAGTGTTCTTTACTGGGATGTGCCTTTAAAAGTGTTGCCCTTGTTATGCAAACAATCTGAGGGCCAGTTGCTGAAAAGGGAAGCACTGCAGTTTTGAGTAGCTATTAATATTTGCTAGTGCGTCATCAGTTTGTTGCCTTCTTGAGGTTAATTTAGCTTCTCCCCTACTTTTTGAACCTTTTCCCCTCCTTCCTTCGTAGAGAAGTCCTGCCAAAGCTCCGGTCTGTCCTCACCACCTTACCCCTAAGCTTCGAGCTCGTCCCTTCTTAAGTCAGTGGCCACATTCTCTCTCTGCTCTCCTGGTGTGACTCTCACCTGGCCCAGCAGCAGCCCTCGGTTTAGGGCTGTACCTGATGCGTACCATGGTGTCATTTTGCTCGTTAATCTTCCCTTCACCTGTCTAGAGTCAGGAGAGAGCGTGTGCCTAGGAGCTGGGTCCAGGGACTCACGATTGTCCGATTCCGCCACAACTTACACTCCTTTAGGAAAAGCAACAGATCGTGGTTCTTTAATAAGAGTGGGCTTCTGCAGCAAACGGGTAAATCATCGAGCACAAATACATGTGTATAACAGCTACTGGGCTGGAAATTTAACACAAAAATCCCTATCTACCCAGCCCGTGGGCCACAGATCTGTATTTGAGAATTAAAAAGTAGAAAAGGAGGTTTCGCTATCATCCAAAGAAACTGTTCTTGATCTTAAAATAGGCTTTGACCCCTCAGGATAAAAACCAGACTTCTCTGAGCAGGACTAACTGACATGAATTGGATAATTCTATTAACATTCTGCCTTAGCGATTGCTATATACAGTTTAATAGCCATCCTTGAAAAGAAAAAGATATGAAAACTGACGCTTCAAAATCCTAGTTGTATTTTCTAAACATCACTCATTGGATGCCTGTATTTCCCAGTTTATAGACTCCAGAAGTTCATGTAGTTGGAAACGAGAACATGAGTAGTGAATATCCCCCAAAATTCTTTCCAAGTTCAGTCATTAAGAATTGATTTTGTATTCATGTAATTATCTTCTTTCATTGGCCCACAATTCTAATATGCCAAAAATTAAAGATGAATAGTAAATGAACACTTGAAAAGGTATTATATAATGCTAGCACTTAATAAAGAGAGATTAATATATTCTTATTCCTTTCCTTTTTAAAAAATGGATAAAAAGATTTTAATCTTTATAAAAATGTAAATTTCAATGCATCAAATGGTTGTGTGGTTTTTGGAAGCTTGATTTTATTTGCTTCATTTGGAGAAAATATAAGATGAAAAAAATTCAGAGTTAGAGAAGTAGGCATTAGAATCATAGATGATGCAATTTTGAAATGCCCTTATGTTTTGATGAATATTTCTGAAGTTCCATTTTTAATGTTCTGAATAAAATAGATGGCCGTGCTCTGCTTCTTGCAAGTTAATTGTGACTTATTTGTTTTGCAGATACTCCACTGGCCAGTGGTCAGGCTACCGACTATTTATTTGTTGGAAATATTGTTTACACGGTAAGTTTATCCGTTTATTGAGCCATTCTTAAATGGTCCACGTGTGGGTTATACTTCTCTATACCTTTTATATAAGGCCTTCCTCGTTATTATTATTTATTTCAAATCTTTAAACTATCTTTTATAGATTCCTTGAAGTTCAGAATGCTGTGAAATGCTTACTGTATTGTTTGTGAAGGTTGTGCAGAGTCCGTTTGTAGACAGGTGACTGGCAGACTGCCCACTTCTTCAAATGACCATTGCACATCTGCCCTTAAAAGAAAACTCTCAGGAAGGTGATTTCTCCTAAACCATCCAAGCTAAGAAGAGGGCAAAGCTATTATTTGTGAGAAGACCATCACTAGAATGAGAGTTTTTTCTGGAAGTAGATCTGCCTATATGTTTCCTAGAAATAACTCCTAGAGAGTTAGCTACACATGTGGCACTTTGAAAGTATCACTTCCTTGGAGGAACTAGCTCTGGAGCAGAGACATGGGATTTCTCATGGAAAGTGAAAATAACTCACTGAGGATAATATGTTTTTCCAAACTCTTCTTTCTTTTTGCAGTATGTTGTCGTTACTGTGTGTCTGAAAGCTGGTTTGGAGACTACAGCTTGGACTAAGGTAAGTTTTCTCTAGAATTGTTTCTCTATCCAGTATAGGTCTTTTTTTATGCTGTGATTTTTTAAAGCCTTGGGGAAACAATAAGCAACATCTAGCTATCTTATTTTAAATTTTGCATGTAAAAATTGTGGTTTGATCTTTATCAGGGCAGATTTGCAATCCAAAATTTCTTGGTGATTCATTTGCTTGGCACCTAATTACAGCTCTAAGCTATTAACAGTCATCTCATTTCAAATGTATATGCCCATTGTGAGAAAAAAACCAAAAGCCATGTATACACACATGCGTATACACATGCACATGGGAAATACGGAAGAACAAAAAAATATTTAATTTCCACAATTTTACCACCAAGAGATAGTTATTAACACTCCACTCTGTAACCTTCCAGACTTTGTTTCGTGTCTGCATGTGTGTGTATTTTTTAATGTGATGATACATTATAGAACATAGAGCTTTGTAATCTTTTTGTACTTAAAAATGTATCAGGCACATGTTCTATGCCTTAGAATGTTATTCTACAAAATCATTTCTCGTGATTTAAGAGTACCAAGTTGTATAGATGTTCCATCATTTATTTCACTGTCTCTCATTTTAGACATTTTGGTTATTTCCAACATTGGAGGATTATAACTAATGCTTCATGTTTGTCTCTCTCAGAATGTCATGACCTGGCTGATGTTTAAATATTCTGCTAAGAAAAATGGGGAAGGGGGTGGGAGGTCAGTGTGCCATTGGGACTCCTCAGGAGACAGAGGCAGTTGACCCAGGTCAGAAGTGAGGGTGGCTTAGTCTGGGATGTTAGAGGAAGAGGTAGTGAGAAGTGGTCAGAGTCTGGATGTATTTTTGTTTTGTAAAAAGGTAACAGAACGTGCAGATTGATTAGATTGTAGGGTATGGAAGAAAGAAAGAAGTCAGGGATCATCATACTAAGAGGACAAAGGATAAAGAATAACAACTCAGTAGATGCTTAGAGGGGCGTTGTTGAGATGTGATATCCATTCCAGATTAAAAAAAAAAAAACTTTGCAAAATGAACAAAACAACCAGAGTCTCAAAATGGCAACTAAAAACATCTTGTTCGTTTTGTCTGTTCAGCCGCTCTCTTCCCGGCTTAATCAGCCCTTGTTCTGTGCAGCCCCAGGTTGGAGCAGATACTTGCCGTGAGCTGAGAGGGGCCTGCTGTCACTGTAGGGTGGATTCTAGAGGAAAGTCAGCTGTGACAGCAAAAGTGTGTTCTTCTTCAGGGTAGTTTGGGGCCACCAATTACTTGAATTCATTGTTAAAAATTCTGAGACAAAGGAATTAGAAAAATTGAACTCCCAGTCTTCCCATGCGGAAAGGTAGCTCGGGCTTGGGGGCTCTGCAGCGGGTGGAGTTGCGGTGAGTCTGCCCAGCGGTGAGAAGCCCCGTCTGAGTGTCTGTTCCTCTCTGCAGTTCAGTCACCTGGCAGTCTGGGGGAGCATGCTGATCTGGCTGGTGTTTTTTGGCGTCTACTCAACCATCTGGCCCACCATTCCCATTGCTCCAGATATGAAAGGACAGGTCAGTACTACTAACTGTCCGTGTGCCCAGTGTGTCTTGTGATAACGGTGTTTTCCATGTGTGGGTGAGCAGCTTTCTGCATCTTACAACAACCATGAGGAGAGGCTGGTGTTACCTGCTTCCACCAGAATTTATCGGGAGATAAACCAAATTGAAGCATCTCAAAGAGGTTGTCCAGTCCACAGAAGTGGCATTTGAAAATTGTTTAAAGTTTTGTGTAGAGACAGGGTCTCGCTATGTTGCCCAAGCGGATCGTGAACTCCTGGGCTGGAGCGATCTTCTCGGCCCGACCTCCCAAAGTGCAGGGCTTACAGCATGAGCCACCACGCCCAGCCTGAAATTTTAAATAATGTGGAAAAATTGTCAACTTAAATCCTCTGACCCAGCATGTCCACATTCCCATAACACATTACTGATGTGTACAGTGTGTGGCCCTTTGAAAACTGGAGCTGTTTTGGTCATTCATATTCCAGTGATTATGTCGATTACAGTTTAGATGTTACACTGTGATTAGCTGGTGATTGGTCACCTGTGAAAGATAAATCTAACGATTCTGTTAACCAGATCATTGATGAACTGGAATCTCTCATGGTTCATCTCTTTGCACTCTTTGCGAGGCTGAGATTGGAAGACATTTATACTTGTTTGAACATTTTTTATATTTCCTTTTCTTTTCTATTATTTTTATCCAGTGTTTGAGATTGAGCCATCAACACTGACAAATTGGGTCATAGAATCCCACAGTATCAGGTGTACAGAGGGAGGAGCTTGGTAATCTGTGGTCCAAACCTCCTCAATTTGCCAGAGAAGCTGTGCAGGCCCAAGTGTCCGGGCCCGCCCCACAGACCCCACCCTGGGCTCTCCCACAGCCAGCTGCCCAGGCCCTGTGCTCTGGGACCTCTGTGCTCCTGGCAGAGTGTGTTCCTCTGCACAGAGTGGAAAGCCATGGTGCACAGAGCCAGTCTTCCCACTTCTAGTCCATTCTCTGGGCTCCCAGTACTCCAGGTTTCCTTCCCAAACAGCCAACAACCCACAGCCCAGGCCCACCTGGCCCTACTCCCAGATCCAGGCCAGTGTGTGCACCCCTGGGCCCAAGCGGCAGCTCTTTGCAAGGGCCATGCACTGAGTAGGTTGACGGTGGTGCCGGTACACCCACCATGTTTGCAGGAGGATGTTTGTGCTGGGAACAGAACCAGGGGTGAGAAGGGGAGAACTGTGTGTCAGGCTTCCACTGGTGGTCCCACCCCAGGAATACATATTTTAGGGGCAGGCCTATTCAGGGCACACCTGGCTGCTATGTCTGCCTTGCTTATTACTCTGTAGAAATGAACAAAAGCTCCCGGGTCCACCCAAGTCTAGATCATGTCCAGCAGCTGTTCTAGGTGAGATGATCCAGGGCGGTGTTGCCTGCCTTTTCACCTGCTCAGCCAGCCAGCTGACACCCCAGGGTGTGCGGGGCCTGCGATGAACGTAGGTGCTGAGCAGGATGGTCCTGTCCTGCAGGAGCAGGCTTGCGTGTGCTCTGATGCATCTTTGCTGTCTGTAAGGAAAGAGGACAACCATGTACCGTGGTTTACAGTTCTTTTCCAAATACAGGCAATAGAGGAAATGAGAGGGTGTTGAATGAGCCCAAAGGATTGTCGTGTAGCCAAATGAGCATTTCCCAACAGAAGATACTTTGTGCATTAAAGGAAATCAATTTTATTATAAAGCAATGCAATAGGTCCCACAAAACAAACCAAGAAAGGTATCCCCTACGAGACGATCATTTGGTAAGGCATTGGTGCTTAGGGTATCTGCTTCGTGTTCTCTTCCTCCTGGTTAAGGGTGGATCTGCTCTGATGAATATCCCATTTGGGGGATTTTATGGCACAGGGCAATACATAGGGCTGCAGCTGATTGCCGTGCACAGTTTTCTAAATTAGAAAAGAGTGACAGCTGGCAGCATGGGATCAGCTGGTGTGTGACTGGCAGGCAAAGCCCATTCCTCTGGAAGCCCCTGCAGTGTCCTGGACCGAGAGCTGCTGCTGCACCGCCTGTGCGCTGTGCTTTGGGAACTTGGATTCAAACGTGCAGGAATCAGGCCCGTCGCCGACTCGATCCCATGGGCGGCTGACTTTTGAACTGCCAAGGGACCACGCTGATCACACAGCCAGTAACATGCCAGCGTTTTTGCTATACAAGCCACATAAGCCTGCAGGTCTGTGTGGTGCCAAGACTCAGCTTGATGGTGAAATTTACATATTCGGAGACTCTTCCAGTAGAAATTTAGGAGCTGTTCCTACTGTCCAAGAGCAAAGAAGTGATACTATTAAACTACATTTCATTTTTGTATAAAAGCATTTTTTTTTTTACTCAAATCATGTCATTTTAACCTTTTTGTTGGTTGGTGCGTTTCCACAACGCAAATGATGTTGTTATGAAATAGAACAGAGCTGGGTGAGGCTGAGGTTTTTGTTAGGTACTGAATAAGAACGTTAGCGCAGTTTTCCTGTGGCCAGATTTCTGAATGGGTGATCTGCTGACTAAGTTTAAAGAGCTGTTTATCATCTCTCGTCTTCTTCCGGGGGAGCTCTGAGTGGGAAAAGGGCATCAGGAAACCCTGTGTAATTTAGCGTCACAGCCCATGATAATACCGAATCACCTGCTGTTTGCCATACTCTTTTTATTTTTATTTATTTATTTTTTTTGAAACAGTCTCACTCTGTCACCATGAATAAAGTGCAGTGGAATTATCATAGCTCACTGCAACCTCAAACTCCTGGGCTCAAGCGATCCTCCTGCCTCAGCCTCCAGAGCAGCTGGGATTACAGGCGTGCGCCACCATGCCCAGCTAATTTTTCTACTTTTAGTAGACACAGGGTCTCAGTCTTCCTCAGGCTGGTCTCGAACTCCTGAGCTCAAGCGATCCTCTGCCTCAGTCTCCCAGAGTGCTAGGATTACAGGCGTGAGCCACCGCACACCCCGCCCACTGTCTGTTTTGACTCAATAGTTTGTTCATTCTTTGAAAAATGGCAGGGAAGTACTAAAAAACATTTTTTAACACTTTTGAAGAATCACTTTAGTGGAGAGTGTCTAAACTAGCCTGAAGTCTCAGAAAGGCTCTCTGTTGACCCAGGAGGGATGGTGTGCTGTCCCGAAGAGAGGGAGGAGCTGGGCTCAGGTGCGTCAGTGACAGGAATTGGCTGTTTTGGGGAACTGTTGAAAATATGCCTGAGCCGTCTTTATCCCTTGGGTTCTTGGTTGGTGAACACTTCAGAGCAAAGGGTATTCTAGGAAACTACTGCTTCTTAAAAATTTCCATTTTAAGAATGTTTTAGTGATTTTTATAAACCATTTTTGTTTTAGTTTCACTAAACAGTAGGTTTTTGGCAAATGAGCATAATTCTTTGAAGCTTTAGAATTAAGCCAGAGAGAGATTTGACACACAAAACATTCTGTCTATTCATACCATCTTCAACCATTGAAAAGATGTATTGTTTCTGCTGGGGTTTCCTAAACTGATTTGATTGAATATTTCTTTGTCTTGTCCCTTATATTTGGAGTTTTTCTCACGCAGGTTTTCCCTCGAGGGCAGAGGAAAGGAAGGGCTGGAGAATTACAGACTTGTTCTCCACTGTCAAAGAGTCTTTATCTTCCCTAAGGCACCTCATGGGTTGGTATGTGAAACCCAGCCAGACAGCGAGCCAGGAAGTCCCGGTGGAAGTTTTTGAATCAAAGAAGTCCTCTGCATACTTCCGCTCCTGAAAACGCACAGCGTTTGCGGGAGTTTCAGGGGCATCCGGCTTTTCCATCTTTCTATTCCCACGCTTAGCTCTACGGTCAATGAAAAACTCGGGTCGTGTCTGTCCTGGTTAATACCAAAGTCCTCAGCTACGGAAAATATGTGATGACGTTTTCCCACAGAGGACCATGTGCTTTTCTTTCCCCCAGCTAGCATTGCCACGAGGTGTAGGCTTCTCCAGAATGGGTCCCCAAAGCAATTGCTTAAAGGTGGAAAATGACAGGGTTCCCTCAGTTCACCGCCTTCCCCAAAGTTGTCTGTTGAAGCAGAGCTTGGAAATAGAAAGATGAGGAAAACTTGATCTAAAACCAGATCAGGCAATGTGCTTATATTTCCTTCGTGGGGTTCCCAAGGCTTTTGACAGCAGGAGTGACTGAGGGGAGGCCCTCCTACCTGACCACTATTCAAAAGCCAGAGACCTGGGTTCATGCCCCAGCTGGTTATGCAACCTTTGGCAAATCACTTTGCCTGCGTTAATGTCCTAATCAGCAAAGTCGGAATAGTATCACCCACCCTGGTTAACGCAGAGGACTGTGGTGAAGATATAATATTTAATACAGTAACGTGTAGGAAATCTAAAACATGCATGTTCTTTTTCCTAGAGTGATGAATTGTTTTTGAACCTTCATAAATAGAAATATTGCTGTGATTTAAACTTCTAATTCTTTTGGCCAAAGAACTTTAACATTTTATAGGTTCTAGTTGAGATGTTTCCCAGTAAGGACCATTAACCACCTGCATCCGAATCATCTGGGTTGCTTGTTAAAATGACAACTCCCCCCAAAAAAATATGTTCAGAGTCTCTCTCTCTCTCTCTCTCTCTCTCTCTCTCTCTCTCTCTCTCTCTCTCTCTCACACACACACACACACACACACACACACACGCACACACACATGCATGTACACACAGAATCTGAACCTCTGGGTTCTGAATTCTCATAAATCTCTAGGCAAGTCTTCCTTTAAAGTTTAAGAACGGCTGCTCTAAAACACCTAAAATACTACTCCACTGCAGTGTTTGCACTCGTGCTGGGTGTCACGGGAGAAGTTGGTGCGCTGAAGATATTCACAGCCGACGGATCGCTCATGCGCAGGTTACACAAGACATGGCCAGGTGGGCCGGTGACGGCCTCGAGGCAGCCAGCTTTCTAAACAGGGACTAACACCGAAAGACATTACATCGCTCACCATGGAAAAATGCTCCTCGCAAACTTCG